TCTTCTTGAGGAGACGCTAAAAACACCTCAGCCAGCTCCCCGTGCTGCAGGGGAAGGGCTTTCCATGCCTGCCAGTTGAATCTCCTTCACCGAGAGGCCAGACAAAGCCCATTGCTAAGACTTGTCTTCAAAACAGCTGGGTGCAGAAATTATAGCTTCCTGGTGACGATCGGCTCCACTTTGCATGGCAACACAACATGTTCCTAATGACTGAATTGTTTATTTAATAAAGAAATGACAACCATTTGGAGGTTTAAATATAGCCTCTCAGAAACTCAATGAGCTCAGCTCCTGGTGGCTGCGTGGCACTGGCAGGGGCCCAGTTCCTACACCACACGAAGCCTTTAGCAATGGCTTGAAAAAAATTCTTGTGTTTCGCTAACCATTATCTTTTCTCTTGAGTCTCCTCTTGGCTTCAAATAGAAGTAACTAGTTCTGTGAATCAGGTGGGGACATTCAAAGGTACTCTCGGCCTTACTGTTGAATTTGAAGATGGGAAGATACCTCTTTGCCTTTTTCCCTGTAGTCCCCCTGGTGTAGGGTCCCAAGGAGTGGCAAGGATGAATCCCAAGAATGGTTCTTGAGGACTGAAAGACAGCATGTCCCATTTGAGAGCTTTTTAATTTAAAATCACATTTGGAGCCAGCAAGCCCTAGGACTTTCCAAGCAAAGCTGCCCTTTTCCTGTCTTTTTTTTTTTTTTTTTTTCCTCTTTTCTCCCATAATTTGAGGTCCGTCTCAGGTTTTGTGAAAAACCCAAGGCTCTGTCTTGCTGGGAGCTCTTAGACCAGAATCCATATTCCTTAAGTGGCCTGAAGCCCTTCCATCCCTCTCTCCCCCCGCAGGCCCACCACCCACAGCTCAGACCTCCAGTAAAGACTGGGAGACAAAGAACAGTGTACAAGAGTTTATTTAATTGATATCTGAATTTAGTTCTATCATGTGAGGTGTGAGGCCCACGTTACAATTTCCATCTGGGTCCATTACAACTCTAACCAAAAAAAAAAAAAAAAAAAAAACCCAAAAACAAAACAAACAAAAAAAACACGAACCTTAAAAAAAAGAAAATCCACAACTTTTTCCATGTCATTAAATATATTCATATATAATAACCATAATATATTAGTATGCATTGGAAAGGAACATTGACCCAAACAATATGTCATGGTCACAACTAAACATTTACAATTCCGAGTGAACAGAACTCTGAAACGCAGGAGGGAGTTGAGGGAGGATGGGAAGTGCATTTGAGAGCAGGGGGTGGGAAGAGATGGCCAACGACACAAGGAGTGGGGCTGGCTTGGTTTTGGTGTGGGGGGGTGGGGCGAGGCCCCACAAGTACACATTTTGATACCCCTAGGGTATGGCATGGCTGCAGCCATGAACCGTGGCCCAGTAACCCCATCAGTGAGTCTAGTTTGTCCACACTCGGTTTCTCTCGTAGGGTGGGATGGGGGGCTTCCTTTAAGTGTTGAGACCCTAACATTTTTGTTTCCTAGAGGGACCATTTCCTAACCCCTCAGATTCTGCTTGATTTCAGTCTCATTCCAACCTGGGGCAAACCCAAGAAAGTCTTTACCCATTTTTCTGCGCGTTACTATGGAGGCAGAGTTTCAGGAGGTTGCTAAGGGCCTTGGGGCAGCTCATGGTCTCCCTGGCTTGGACCAAAGGTGTCCCTCCCTCCATTTCTGAGAACCTGAGGATGCTGCCCCCTGCCCTGCTTTCTCAGAACAGAAGCCACAGCCTGCTGGTAATCCGGGGGCCGCCCCATATCCTTCCCCTTTCTCTCCACCCCAATCTTAAGCTTTACTGTGTGTCAGTAAAGCAGGCACTCTGTTGTCAGAGGCTCCAGACCACCTAGAAGGTAAAAAAAAAAAAAAAGGACAACTGGGGAATCTTTTTTTGTTTTTTGTTTTTTTAAAAAGACTAATCTGGTATGTTTTTCTTCAAACACCTACATATCACAACTCTGGTTAATACACTCTTCAAAATCAAAATCTAGTTGCATTTTACATCCCTTCTTAACTGTACAAACCGGCATACCTCAATTCCTATTTCTACCTCCTCCCCGGGACGGAGACAGTGGTGGAAGAGGGTGCTTTCCCAAGGAGGGGTCCTCACTGCTGAAGTTGGTGGCTGGATTCAGAGGAGCAGGGGGCTGGGCTCTGGTTGGGTCTGTGATATGGGGAAGGCAGCCTGTGATGACTGAAATCCCAACAGTGTCCTCACCCCAACCTGGCTGATCTGGCCACCCTGACACATTCCCCAGGGGCCACGCCACTGGGTGGACTAGATGGATTTTGCCCTTGGGGTGCTAAGGTGGGTGAGGCTGAAGACTGGTTGAATTGAAAGCAAGATGTATTATTGCTTTGTAGGCTGTTGGCTCCAGAGCTGAGGGGACTTGGAGACTACCAATGCCAGCCCCTCGAAGGACCTGGGGTGACTCAAACCCAGGGTAGGAGGTGGTAGAGCTGCCATGCCCTTCTGGGCAGGGGAGGGGAGCCAGGCTGGTGTAAATAGAAATAGGAAAAGTGAATGCCTTTCAAGGACTGTGGGCCAGCAAAATGCCAAGGCCTCTGAGGTGCTAATGGTGCTCAGCAAACCACGGTGGGCACTAGAAGGGCTGACTGCTAGGAGAGAGGTCCCTATGCTCCCAGCCTTGAGTCTGGATTCAGGAAAGACAAATACCCTTTCTCAGGGCCACTCTGTCCTCTCCCAGCCCACATGGGCATCTCTGCTCACCTCTCCTGGAATCCCTCTCAACAACCCCAGACAGCCAAACTTCCTTTCTACTATATCTTAGATCAGCCAAGGTCTGCCTTTTGGAACCTGGGGCTTCCGGACTGCCCCGTGGCGAGTTTACAACCAGCCTCACCCACCACTCTTGCTCTACCTCTGGAGACGTTATTGTGCCCCTCCACCCCTCTCCCCCTATACACACACGCTTCTATTCTCCGGGCCAGTGGCAGTAACCAGGGCCCTGGAGAACCCCCTCACAGCCTGCTACAGGAACTGAGTGGGTAGGCTACAGAGCTAGCGTGCAGTGAGCGAGGAGCAGCATGGCCCATGGTCAGAAAGCCTGGCTTTGGAGTGTGAATCCAGTTCTGCCTCTTATCTGCCTGGTGACCATGGGCACATGTGCTTCATTTTCCTCACTGGTGAGTCTGGGGGTGAGAATCCCTGTTTCACAGGGTTGTCATGAGGATAATAATAGATCATGTGGGTAAAGTGCCAGGCACAGAGCAGGTGCTCATTAAATGGCAGCCGTGACACGGGCTGAAGCAGAGGCGGCAGAGGGAAGCCTGACCACTTACTTGGTGTCACCCTTCTGAGCAGCCAAACTCCGGTGGGAAAATGAAACCAATTTCCTGACTGAGAAGGGAGCCAGGACTCTAACTCAGTGTGCCGGGTGTGAGGATGTGGGCCAGAGGCCCTGGGAAGTGCAGAGCTCAGGAGGCAGGGAGGCAATAGGCCCCCAGGAACAGGTTCTGTGTGAGGCAATCAGACCCAAAGATCTGGGGCTGCCTGCTTGGGGACAGTGTCTCTAGGAAACTCTGGAAAGTTGGTCTATCCATGCCCAGGGGCATGGGAGGCCTCCAAAAAGCCGGCAACTGGACCGATTTGGATAGACGCTGCCCAGACTAGACCAAGATAGCTGGAGCGGACAGCCCCAGGGTAGGGGCAGCTGCGGCAGGCTGTCTTGGCCTAGCAGCCTCTGTCACTTCCCTTGGAAAGCCAGGAGCGAGGGCAGCAACAGGAAGTAGTCACGGCTTCCTTAGTTCCCAGGAACCTGGTCACTTCTGCCCCTGCCCGCTCATAGCTCAGGCACTCCAGCCTCTTGCGGGGCAAGGAAACCCAGTCCTGACTCCTGCAAGCCCCTTCCCCGGGCCAGGCCTAACCACCTTTGCAGCCTGCATTCCATGCCCATCCAGGCCCTTCCCAGCTGTTTGTTGACACTGCTGAAAGGCCTTGTGGGAGCTGATGTCATTACACAAATAGTGTCACTGCCATAAACCCAGGCAGTGCCCCTTCCCCCTCCCCTGGAAAATGTCATAAAGGGGCTGCCTCCAAGTTTCCAAAAAGGAAACTCTCAGGGAGGTTTTGCCTTCGCAATGCCTCCTCCAACAGGCAGCTCCAGTATGAGGCAGTGACCACCCGGCTTGGGCTTCTCAGGGGTGTCCTTGGGGCTACTCCCTCCGAATGGGCCAGAATCCTGGGCCTGCACCCAACCCCCAGCTGGGCAGGGCCAGGCACCAGCGGAGGCTTCCGCTTCTCTGGCTCCACAGATTGTAAACCCCTCACCCCACCCAGGAGGACCAAATCGGCAGGTGGCAATGGAGACCACAGCCTGCACGGGGAACGCTGGTTGCACAGGCTGCTTCTGCCGCCCCCATATGGTAGCCCAGCCCCTTCAGATGGGGCCCACGTTGTCCCAGACAAGGGTCCTGTGACAAAGAAGGGTCAGGGGAAAAGGGAGGGGATTTTCGGTCTTTTGTGTCTGGGGTGGTGGTTTGGCCGGGCTCGCACTGCTCCCCGCCCAACTGCGGGCCTAAGAATTCACAGTTCTTCTCACGTTCCCCTCTCTCTCTAACCATCCACCGGCCGCCGCGGGTGCGGCCCCAACTGCGCGGTTCTGCGCCCATCCTTCGGGCCCCGGTCAGGCTGCCCCGCCCCCGCCACGGAGACCCCCGCCAGGCCCTAGGGACGCACATCCCTGCTCTGGAAGGAGCCCGTGAGGTAGCTAAGTCTCGTCCTCATTTCTCCAGGGCCAGGCCTGCTGCGCACCCCTCCCCGCTTTTCTCTGCCTCCGCGCTAGGCCTTCTTGCACTTGCCCTTCTTCTCGCGCTGCTGGAACTTGCGCAGCCGCCGCGCCCACGTGTCCCGCCACTGGATCACCAGGCTGCTCTTGTCCGCCACGATGCCACTCTGGTCGGGCGAGTCCTCCGCGTTGCCCAGTAGCAGGTACTTCTTGAGGGGTTTGATTTTGGGGCACTTGCAAGCCTGCCTCCGCGCTAGGCCTTCTTGCACTTGCCCTTCTTCTCGCGCTGCTGGAACTTGCGCAGCCGCCGCGCCCACGTGTCCCGCCACTGGATCACCAGGCTGCTCTTGTCCGCCACGATGCCACTCTGGTCGGGCGAGTCCTCCGCGTTGCCCAGTAGCAGGTACTTCTTGAGGGGTTTGATTTTGGGGCACTTGCAAGCGATGTCCCGCGAGCGGATCCACAGGCTCTGGTCACCGCGCCGGATGCGGCTGGTGCCCTGCTTGTACACGGAAATGATGTTCACCGTGAACTTCCACCAGTCCCCCGCCTTGTCTGCCTTCAGGATGTGGATTTGGACGGCTGCAAGGAAGCACAGACAGGCGGTGGGCCACAGGACTGGGAGTGACGCCTGCACCCCCAGCTCCTGTGACCAGGTCTATCCTGCCTGCTCTCACCCTCTTCGAGGCCAAGGATGGGGAAGCCTGTTTGATGGAGAAGGGAAAGGAGACCCAGTGCTAGAAGTGACCGCACTAGGGAGTGCGTGAGTGGTGGCAAAGCTGAACCTGGAACCCCACCTAATACCTGGGCTAGGGCCACCACTTCCAGAAGCCTTACCTCAAGCCTATTTTGAAAGTGCCACCCAGCACTGCCTTTGGGGATAAGCCCCCTCTTAGGATCCAAGAAGGCCAGAAGAAGCCTGTAGGAACTGATCCTACCCAGCACTCTGAGTAGAGTCCATCTGCCTAGAGCAGGTGCCCTCGGAGCAGTGCAGGCTATTCCTCACAGGCCTGGAGGGATGGGGAACCTCCTCAGGTGCCCCTCCCCCGCCACCCCCAGGCATTTCCAAAGGCCCCAATCACATAACACCATGCTAATGACACCTCCAGACACACAACCTTGCCCTTGACCCAATCTCAGAAAACCATAATGGGATCTCAATGCCCAGGTGCAGTACACCCTGAACCTGCCCTTCAAGGTGGCCACAGCATCTCTTCCAGAGTCCAGTGTCCTTACACTGTCCACTTCCCATCCCTGCCAGGGCTGCCTCCCTCCCTTCTTCCCTTTCCTCCCCGTTCTCTGCTAGTATTTACCTTAGTACGAGGGTTCACAAACTGCAGCATGCGTCAGACTCCCCCTAGACAACTTGTCAAAACGTAAGTTTCTAATTCAGTAGATCTGGGGTGGGGCCCTAAAATATGCACTTCATAAATTCCCAAGAGCTGCTAAAGCTGCTGATCCAGGGAACACACTTTGAAAATCAGTGCCCTAGTAAATGTTACCAAATGTTATTTCTGCAGGATATTAAGAAGTACTTTGAAAATAAGAGGAAATGCTTTTTTTAAAAAAAAAAGAGAGGGGGGCTTGCTCAAATATATTTGTGAAATACTGGATTAAATAAACTCAAGAAATTTCCTCACTGCAGGACTTTTCAGAGCTTTTAATCTACAAATTGTGTGTGTCTGTGTGTGTGACACACTCATGCATGTGTGTTGGTTTCCCAAATAATCCTGACTGAAGAAATTTTTGACTGGTGCATTTCAAGTCATCAGAGCCCCATGGGGCCTACTTGGGGAACTCTCGGTGCGGGGACACATATTAATTCCCCTCAGTCTAGGGAATAAATCAAGAAGCCTCTGCTGCAATGACTTCCATTCAAGGACTCAGACTCTAGTCTATTAGGGTCCAGGAGGGCTAGGGGAAGTCTGTAAGAACTGACCACACTCCCAGCACACTGGGCCGGGTCCATCTATCTGCCCAGGGCCATCTTTCCCAGCATGCCCTGTACCCTTCACCGCTGGACCAGGCTGAAGATTACCCTGGCTGCTGAGTAGATGTGAGCCCTTCTGAGAGAGAAGCAGCATCTCATCCCTCCAGATACAGGTGAAGAAACCGAGTAATAGGAAGGCTAGGGGTCGCCAGCAGCCATGAAGACACGGTCATCACCTGCCCACTTACAGCTCCAAGCACTGGGCCCACCCACAGCTCAGCCTGGCTTCTCATGCTGACCGGCTTCTCTCAGGGCTTCTGGGGCCACTCCACCACCCTCGATCCCAGGGCCCCCCATGCCCAGGGTGTTAGGGAGGGGCAGAGATGGATAGGCTCAGGGGAGCATCAAACACCATCCAACTCATACTTCTAGGGTGAGAGAAGTAGCAGATTTTCCCATATTTTCAGTTCAGCTGTTCCTGGGCATCCTGAACTTTGCACTCCAGTTTGAAGGCTCCAAAGAATGGCTGCCATGGCAACCGTTTCCATGTTTTTGTCACTAAGGGACTCAACACTCAGTGTGAACTCTGATGGGGGGTGGGGAGCCCTCCGGCCCAGAGAAGTGGCTGGGCCATGTGTGTTTGACTGTGCAGATGGAGGTCACCGTGGCAACTGAGTGCCCCTTAGCTAAGCAAGGGGGAGCCACCCCCAGCTTCCCCGAGAGCCCCCATTTCCTCTCCTCAGGACTGAGCTGAATACAGAATGAGCCTCCCTCAGGACGTGGCTGTTTCCCTGCATGGGACCTCAGACCCCTGGCCCAGCCACAGTGTCTCCCAGCTGGGGTGGGCATTGGTGGTCAAAAGAGGATGCTACAGAAGGCACCTCTGGCTGGGGTCCCTGGAGATGGCAGCTTTGATCTTAGGCACTGAGCACCTATTGGTGTTATGGGCTGAATTACGATCCCCCGAAATTCGTATGTTGCAAAGTTCTAACTCTCAGTAGTTCAGAATGTGATAGTCTTTGGAGATAGAGCCTTTAAAGTGGGAATTAAGTTAAGATGAAGTTATCAGGGTTGGCTCTAATCAAATATGGCTGGTGTCTTCATAAAATGAGGAGATTAGGACACAGACACACAGAGGAACAACCATGTGACGACACAGCGAGAACGCGCCATCTGCGAGCCAAGGAGAGAGGCCTCAGGAGAACCTAACCCTGCCGACACCTTGATCTAGTACTTCTAACCTCCAGAAATGAAAGAAAATAAACGTCTATTGTTTAAGGCTCCAGTCCGTAGTGCTTTGTGCCGGCAGCCCTAGAAAACTAATACAATTGGAATCAGTGACTCAGGGCGTTGAGTCTCGGCTCAGGGCCAGGTGGGAGCCAGACCTGGTGAGGGCCCCCAGCTGTGCTGGGAAGAGCTGGCTGGACAAGGTCAGGCCTTGGGCTGACCCTTTGGGCCCCCAAGGGCCCTTCTAAGTCCCTGGACTTACAAGAGCATGGCCAATCACTGCAGGAGGACTTCCCCCCCCGGCCCACCTTCCCTGGTCTGGAGCCCTCCCTCCTCTCAAGGAATGCCCTGGGACACCAGGCAGGGCATCCGAAGCAGCCTCCACCCCATGTCCCCAGGCATGATCAGCACAGGCCTGAAGGGGACCTGCTTTACACTGGGGACACAGCCCAGAGGGGCACCCGCCCCTGGGTACCCACTGTCCTCGAGAATCTAGGGGTCAAAGTAGGGGATACCAGTCACTTGGCACAAAGCACTGGCCCTTTTCCTCCTACAGCCCCAGCAGCTCCCGGCAGCTCCCTGGCTATTGAGTGAGACAGCACAGACCTGGAGGCAGGGGCAGTGGAGGGTGGTGGTAGGATTCGTGTGATTATGCTGGAAAAAATCCACATTTCCGCTGCCCTTGGCAACGCCTCCGCACATTACACAGCCCACCAAGTATGAGCTGCACACGAGTGCACGGGCCAAGTCCCCGCAGTGCACATACAGCTGAAAATATTCAAAATACACACTGAAACAGTGACCTCAGGCAGGGCTGCTCAGCATGCTCTGGGTGCACTCGGCACGGCACAGCACGGCACAGCGCTGGGGCTGCTGCCACCTCTGACGCACTGCTGCTGGGAGCCAGAAATGACCTGAGTCTTCTGGGGGCCGTACATCACCCAATCGGGGCTGGGCACAGTGGCTGTGGGGAGCTCTGCCCATCCCAGGACCATGGCCCCCCACAGCGGGCCCCTTACACCCACACAACACTCACTCCGGAACCATTAGTCTCAGACCTTAAGATGCCTAAGCCCCTACTGTTGTCCTAAACTGACCTCAATGAGGCCAGAATGGGGAGCTCTGGTGAGGATCCCCAACCTTGTATTCAGAAATGAGGGAGATGAGATGACCGACCCTCAGGAAGGACAATCGTGAGATCGGACCAGAGCGATAAGAGGTGTGCTGACGCCTCTTAATTAGAGACTGGTGTGCAGGAAGAGGGTCCCAGGGTGCAGCCAGGGTAGATGTCTCTGAAGTGGAAATAAGGAAGTGGTTGAGGCAGGTGCTGGCCAGAAAGGGGTGCCTGGCGCCCAGCTTCAGACCCCACTTTCAGTGAGAAGCGGCCCCACCTCAGGGTCTACACTGTGAATGCACCTTCCTTTGAACCCTTGTTCACCTAGAAAATGAGGGCTCAGGCTGGGTGGCTGCTGTGAGTGAGCACTGCTTGCTGTTCCACAGGGCTCTGCTCTTGGCACAGACAAAAGCAGGCGTTGGGGAGTAAAAGCTGGAGCCTACGAGGTCAGATGGGTGAGGCTGGCTCCAGAAAGCCCAATGGAGCTGTGGCAACCAGGGGTGCCCCCAGCAAGCTGTGGAGGAAGCACGTCTGCAGCATGAAGCAGACACACACAGAAAAGCAAGAAGAGAGAGTTCAGGCTCCAGACAACAAGGCCTCGGGTCCCAGGGGCCAGGCTGCGCTTTGTCTCCTGGCCTTGGAGTCCCTGGACTGTTGGTATCGGTGCAGCAAACCCTCCTTTCCCGAAGCAAACCAGTTGCAGAGGTCTGTTAGCAAGACTACAGGCGGGCCAGGGCAGCAGCCTCCCCCTCAGCAACTCCTGGGTTCAAAGGAAAGCCTTTCATGCAAGGAAGCCTTCTCAGCCACTGAGTACTGACTTCCCTACTCTAACTCAAGCCTGCTGCATTGGCTGGCAGGGGTACATACTTCGTTGTCCCTCGGCAAAGGCCTGTGCCTGGCTCTAGAGAAATGACTGTGACCTCAAACGGGTGGAAGGGACTGAGGGCCAGGTTCATGGAGGCCAGAGTCAGCAGGACCAGCCGGTGACATCACTGGGCTGGTTCTGGCTGAGGGTCAGGAAGCTAGGAGGTAGGCTCTGGACAGAGTGGGGGCCTTGCCCAGCCTGGGGGTCCTCAGTTGCTGTTTGCTGCATCCCCTACAAAGGTGTGAGGCACCTGCATGTCTCTCCATAGACGCAGACCTCTAGCCATCCTTCCCAGGGTGCCCCAACCTCTACAGAGGCTTAACGCTGGGATATTATCAGGCCATCAAAGGCAACCTGAAAAGTGAAAAGCTCCAAGTCCTGTCGTGCACTTGGGTTCCTCCAAAGGGGGTCATGTTGCCCCATGGCAGCCGTGTCCTTGCCCATAG